CAAGAGGATATTCATTTTTTTGTTTAACAGTGTATACAAGTAGAAGATATAAGGAAGATGGAGAATTCTAATAATGCCCATTTACATAGTTACATAGTTACATAGCTGAAAAGAGACTTGCGTCCATCAAGTTCAGCCTTCCTCACATATGTTGTTGCTGTTGATCCAAAAGAAGGCAAAAAAACTAGTCTGAACTCTGAAGTGCTTCCAATTTTCCCACAAACTAGGAAAAAAATTCCTTCTTGACTCCAAAATAGCAGTCAGATGTCTCCTTGGATCAAGCAGCTATTACCCCACTAATTACAAATTATATCCCTGTATGTTATGTTTTTGTAAGTATTTATCCAATTGCGGTTAAAACATCTGTATGGACTCTGACAAAACCACCTCTCAGGCAGAAAATTCCATATCTGTATTGCTCTTACTGTAAAAAAAACTTTTCTTTGCCTTAGATGAAATCTCCTTTCTTCCAGCCTAAATGTGTGACCTCGTGTCCTATGTATAGCCCTGTTTATGAATAGATTTCCAGATAAAGGTTTGTACTGGCCCCGAATATATTTGTATAAAGTTATCATATCCCCTCTCAGGCGCCGTTTTTCCAAACTAAACAGACTTAATTTTTTTAACCTTTCTTCATAACTAAAATGCTCCATTCCTTTTATCTATTTTATAGCTCGTCTCTGGACTTTTTCTAGTGCCATGATATCTTTCTTTAGAACAGGCGCCCAAAATTGCACAGCATATTCAAGGTTTGGTCTTACCAGCGATTTATAAAGAGGCAAAATTATATTTTCATCCTGAGAATTTATGCCCCTATTTATACATGACAAAACCTTACTGGCCTTAGCAACTGCACATTGACATTGCATATTGCTGCCTAATTTGTTGTCTATAACAATTCCCAAATCCTTCTCGTGTGTGGTTATCCCTAATTCACTACCATTTAGTGTGTAAGTTGCTTGTGCATTCTTAACCCCGAAGTGCATAACTTTGCATTTCTCTATGTTAAATTTAATTTGCCATTTTAGTGCCCAGTCCCCCAATCTATCCAAATCTCTCTGCAGCAAAGCAATATCCTGCTCACATTTTATTACTTTACAAAGTTTTGTGTCATCTGCAAACACTGATACATGGCTTTCAATGCCTATTTCAAGATCATTTATAAATATGTTAAATAGAAGTGGTCCCAAAACAGAACCCTGAGGGACACCACTTACCACTTTTGTCCAGCCTGAAAATTTACCATTAATTACAACTCGTTGTAATCTATCCATAAGCCAATGTTCTACCCAAGATCAAGAATATTCATCTAGACCAATTTATTTTAGTTTGAAGACTAACCTATTGTGAGGAACCGTATCAAATGTCTTGGCAAAATCCAAGTATATCACATCCACTGCAACACCCTGATCTATACTTCTACTTACTTCGTCGTAGAATGCAATTAGGTTAGTTTGACATGACCTATGTTTCATAAAACCATGCTGATTATTGCTGATTAATAACAAAGTTCTTCCCAATGAATTCCTGAATATTATCCCTTAATAGTCCTTCAAATATTTTCCCAGCTACAGAAGTTAAGCTCACAGGTCTATAACTTCCAGGCAAGGATTTTGAACCCTTTTAAAATATAGGAACAACATCTGCCTTCCTCCAATCCTCCGGTACAACACCTGAAACAAAAGAATCTTGAAAAATGTAAATACATAGAAGGATTGGATCTTATTCTTTGCTGAACCTGAATGGTCCAGATGCCTCACAACCCAATGCAATCTCTTAGCACACTTAAACGGAAACCCAATTCCATAGTTTACCCAGCTATTTTAGTAACGGCTGAAAAATATTAACCATGGGATAGCTCACGTGATACTCCGCCAGCCAAAGGCAGAATAGGCTAGGGTAATCACATAACCTTATCCCCAGTTAAAAAAGGAAGGTCACCAGTCTGTACTTATACTTAAGGGGGTAACCTTAATAACTGGAAAATAGAGAGTAAAGAAACAATATTCCAGACATCCGCTCCACTGGAGAGTGTGAATGGGAAAGAGTACAACTTAAATAGAATAGTAGCAAAACCAAAAATGGGAAAAAACTTTATTAAAACTAAAAGTTGAGGCATTATATCCACCAAAGCGTCCCTAAATAGGATAAAAGAGTGTTTATATGCTGGGTAGGGGGTATAGCCCTATAAGACAGATCAGGAACGCAAGGATAAATCCACTCAGGCTAAATGTACTGCTAACAACCAAATGCTGGTAAGGGGTCAATAAAAACACAGGGGGGTGGTCTGCGTATCGCTCAGAGAATCTAAATGAAACAGCCCATCCATCCAATGGATATTAACCGATTAGGAATTAGGGCTAAGTTCAAAAAGAGTGGAGTACCCCCAAAGCTAATACTGAAAAAAAAGCAAAGTTGCTTAAAAATCAATAAGTCAAACACCATACCCCAAAATATATCATATCTCTCATTATACAATATTTCACTGACAACTACATAGCCAAAGATGGGTGCTTGTCCAGGCTGTAAATGCAAAGTGCATTCTCAAGTCTGATGATAGTTGGACAGCAAAGGTGGAGCTAAATGTACTATTGAGCTCTTTAGGCAGCTCACAAGACAGCCGCATATTGTGGCCTTGCAGCAGCCTAAATCACCATACATTTCATATATGTTCTAAGAACCCACTACCAGGACCTATATATAATATTTATATTTTCTTCCTCCTACCTCTCTTTACATCATATCTCTATAACATCATATCCCTGCTGTATCATTGCTCTAAGCAGCCGGTATCCCAATGAAGAATCCAGAAAGGGCATGATCCCTCTCAGGACTGTCATTTCATTGCCACTCAACCTCACTACCAAAGAGAGGTAGGGGTAGCAATATAATAATATTTTAAATAATTTTTCTGGGTAACTGCTGTCTGGCAGGGCAGTGGTATTGGAACTTCGAGGGTAAGAGGGAGATAGAGATGGGAATCTACTGGACCACCAGGGAATAAATTATTGCCCACCTCCCTGCTCAGGAGGTAAGCAGGAGGGGGCAAACATAACATAGAATTTCTTTTTTAAAGGACATTACAACGGGAGGATGCTGGACACAGAAACACAGCCTTAATTATAATTTGTTATATAAGCGCTTCAAAATATTTGCACTGTAATAATAAAGACAATTTAGTTAATTACTCCCCATACTGCCCGTGTATTCATTAGTACACAGAAAAACTTGGAGCTAGATTATGTTAAACCAGTGGAGCGCTGGTAAAGTGCTGATAGAGTGCTTCTAAAAATGGATTTAATAATGTGCTATGTGCAATAATTAACTTTCAAAATCACTATTTTCTGTAATTAAAGTGCATCAACTGTGTACATAAACCTCAATATATTGCTTCGAAAACACAAGTACATAAAGTACAATATTAAACTGCAAGTGTCAAACATAAAATAGGTTACACATTCACACTCTGTGATACAAATAATAAATTAAAATTACAAGTAAAGATCACTAAAATACTCAAGCTTAACGTTTAAACCTAGGCATCTATTAGCTGGACGATACCTTCTCTTTTTGAGTGTATGGGTATAACTTACAATAACATAGGTTTTCTCAGTCAGTACTTTAAAATGATTACAATAGGCACTTTCTGTCTGTCTTTACAATTACCTTGTGTCACCTAAGAAATGGTTTATTTTTAAAAATGACATTTAGGACACAAAAGTAGCAAAAGATCAAGAAAAGAAAAGGACACAATTAATAAATTGTGCCAAACATTGGCTGAAAATTAGCCTTGAATGTGTCTGTGACGCTTTGATAAATCTCCCCTGATGTGTCCCTGGAAATTGTTTTCAAATGTTGGCAGCTATTATTTGTCACGTGCATACTTCAGCCCCTATACATACACACTACAGTTTTGAATACACACGCAATACAACATATATATATATATTTGTGTCCGGGAACTTTAAAGCCGGATAGAATGTAATATATGGTGTATTAGGAAACCATTGTATAAATGAGTCGGTTGTGATGTGCCGAAACCGACAAGTGGTTAGGCCTGTAATAAAGAGGACAAAAAGTTTGAGAATGCAAGTTTATTAAACACATAATTACAATTATCATTTTTATATATATATATATATATTCATTATGAGTGTCAGTGGGGTCGAGTTTCGGCCCCAAGGAGTCGCAAAGTCTAGAGTCTCGATGGATACTATTAACACCATACACTGAATAAGTGATACTGAACTTTATTCCCAAATAATTTTAACACACGCTGAGGAAGATTAAAGATCGTAATATGACAGTCCCAGGCTTCGGAGGGGGGAACACTGTATTTTAAGATTTGTTTTAGTCATATACAGAATAAAAACAATTTGACACAAATTAGAGACTGCACCACTGTGTCCTTGCAACAAAACTAACATAAATCCATGTGATACCTCCCAACATTCCAAATGGACAAAGAGGGACATTGTAATTTTAGGTGTGTGAGTGTGGGGGTTTAGCCAGGGGCGAGGTTGTACTGAGAAATTGTAAGGGGCTTACGAATAACAATTTATGCAACTAACATGTAATTTAGAACAAGAACAATGTATCTTATTTACACACAAACTGATTTCGAAAACATATTTATTTCAGTTTAAAGACACATTACTGTGAGTATTAATACTGTGGAGCTCTGTTATACACAATTTGGTGCTCCTAAAAAAAAAAGATTGACAGTGGGACAGAAAAGAGGGACAGAGGGATTTGGGATCAACATAGGGACTGTCCCTCACAAATAGGGACACTCTGGAATTATGTAGTAATTATGGCGCCGACACAGCCCCTTAAAGTGATGCACTTGGCGGTAAACCAGTGCGCATGCGCAGCAATAAACAGTTACTGGCTTGGTAAAACGCATGCGCTCTGAATAACAGAGGGCGCGGCGCCGACCGTCACGTGATCAGAGAGGAGGTCTTGCGCATGCGCTTTGGGCCGCGGACTGTTGGGCCAGCCGTCACGTGATCGGGGGAGGAGCAAAGACCACGCTCATGCGCGTTTGGCGTGGAGCCGCCATTTTGTGTACGGTGCTGTTGTGTGGAGGTGGTGGCCGTGCTTGCTTGGTCGGTCGGTCTGCCAGCATTGCTTTTTTTCCCCCCTCCTTAATCCGTTGAATCGCCGCACGGTACAGCATGGCGGACAGTCAGTCTCCCGCAGACCCCAGCGCTAGCCATGACACCGAGACCAAGAAACTGAGCGAGCTGCGCGTCATAGACCTGAAGGCCGAGCTGAAACGGCGCAATGTGGACACGGGCGGCAACAAAAGCGCCCTGATGGAGAGACTGCGCAAGGTGAGAGCTGCGGGCACTCCGGCACTAAAATACAGAGAGAGAGAAATATACAGCGAGAGGAATAAAATATAAATAGATGTTATGGGAGAGGCGGGTGGTGGATGTAGTCAACTAATAAAATATACATTTATTATTATTATTATTATTATTAAAACGGCAGAGGCAGGTGGTGAGTCTAATTGCGCTATAAAAGGCCATAAATATATGCAATGGCAGAGAGGCTCAGGGTGCAATTCAGTAATAAAACAAACCTTTATGTAACGGGAGAGAGGCTGATGGGTCTAATGGTAATATGTGTGTCTATATATCTAGCTCATGCATTCATCGGTCGAGAGGCTGATGGATGTAATGGTAAAATAAATATATATGTATATGTAAAGATGCTGATGGCTGTAATGGGGGTGATGAAAGGTCATAACCCTCTTGTGTTCTGGGAAATGTAGTCCAGCACACGTGGACATGCAAAACAAACACTAGATTTTAAGAGAGTTAATGCCGGCATGATATATTATAAGTGTTATATTTTGCAATCCTTATATCAGTATTAAACACTTTTGGGTTCGCAAAGTTCTAAGAGAGAAGCAGTTGGCAGGGACACTTTGAATCCATGATGCCTCCTCACTTTGTAGAATTTCTCACCAATTCCTTTGGTTTTGTTTCACCACATCACAACTTACTATATTATATTTCATTTTGTCACATCCTCTTTTTTTTTTTTTTCTGTTCTATCTTGACCTGAATTGGGGGACACTTTGGTGCTGCTTTCCTCCCCTTAAAGGGAATTTATAGTGTTAGCAATACGTGTTCCTAACACCACTATATTGCTCTCTTGTTCCCGCGTCTTCTCACAAAAAAGGGGTTTAAAAAAAAATTCTGAAAACACTGACTTAACGCTTTCTTATGGTGGTTTTAAGGATTCTGGATGTCCTCATGCGGACGTCCAGCATCAGGTCACACAGTCTGGTAAATTCCCGGAAGCGGCTAGAGGCTCTTTGCAATGCAATGTAAACATTGCTGGATTGAGACAGGGAAATTGCACTCTGACCACTTTAATGAGCTGAAGCGGTCTGGATGCCTATAGTGTCCCACGGAGGACCGAATACAATAGGCTCACTGGCAGGCGAAGAAAGCAGCCATGTGCTTTGTGGAGGAGTAGTATTTCGCCTCCATCATGCAGAGTGTCCATAGGAACGCATTGAGAAATGCTTTCCTATGGACACTCCGAATGCGCGCGCGGCACTTGCCGCGCATGCGCATAAGGCTCTGCTGACATCGACAGAGGAGAGGTCACCAGTGCCAAGGGAGCTGGATTAAGGTAAGCTGCTGAAGGGCTTTTACCCCCTTCAGCGCCACAGGTGGGGGCACCCTCAGGGCACTGTAGTGTCAGGAAAACAGCTTTGTTTTCCTGACCCTATAGTGATCCTTTAAAGGGACACCAAAACAACTTTAGCTTAATGAAGCAGTTTTGGTGTATCGATCATGCCCCTGTAGTCTGTTACATTTGGTGCCATTTAGGATTTAAATAACTTTGTTTGTACAGCCCTAGTGAGATTTCCTTGCATTAGACTTGCACAGCATTGATAAAACTTCCTGTAAAGAGTCATCTAATATTTATACTACTTTTATTGCAAATTCTGTTTACTTGAACACTTCTTATCTTCTGCTCTGTTAAAAGCTTGCTAGACCTTGCAGGAGCCCACTGTGTGTGATTAAGGTTGTTTGCAGAGAAGGAGATTAAAACTTTAAAAAAAATAAGTTAACATGTGAAATGTATGCAGGGTGTGTCAGTCATATCCTGGGGAGTTGTGCCTAGGGCTCAGTAGATAGAAACAAACATGATTTGTAACTCCTAAATTGCAGAGAATTGAGCAGGGGCATGATATGTACACACAAACTGCTTAATTAAGCTAAAGTTATTTTTGGTGAATATATTGTACCTAATTTATTAGTAAAAGTGCAGATTTGTAATAGAAATACACTTTTTTTTATAAACTGGCTTTGAAATGGATAATCCATGCACACAAAACACTTTAACAAGTTGAAGTGCTCTATATGTGTAGAGTGGTCCTTTAAAGGACCACTCTAGGCACCCAGACCACTTCAGCTTAATGCAGTTGGTCTGAGTGCCAGGTCCTTCTAGGGTTAACCCATTTTTTCATAATTATAGCAGTTTCAGAGAAACTGCTACAATTATGAATGGGTTAAGCCTTCCCCCTAATCCTCTAGTGGCTGTCTCATTGACAGCTACTAGAGGCGCTTGCGTGCTTCTCACTGTGAAAATCACAGTGAGAGCACGCCAGCGTCCATAGGAAAGCATTGTAAATGCTTTCCTATGAGACCGGCTGAATGCGCGCGCAGCTCTTGCCGCGCGTGCGCATTCAGCCGGCGGGGCGTAACGGAGGCGGAGAGGAGGAGGAGAGCTCTCCGCCCAGCGCTGGAAAAAGGTAAGTTTTTACCCCTTTCCCCCTTCCAGAGTCGGGCGGGAGGGGGACCCTGAGGGTGGGGGCACCCTCAGGGCACTATAGTGCCAGGAAAACGAGTATGTTTTCCTGGCACTATAGTGGTCCTTTAACTTGCATGACCTTGTTGAACAGCCCACAGTCAGTGTGCAGTTTCTTGAGTGATCGGGTAACAGATATCCATGGGTAATCAACACACCAGTCTCTTAGCAAATTGTCTATTTACAGTCAGATGCTCACTTCAGTGGCATTACGTGATTTTATAAGTCATGCACATCAAAACAGAACTCTTGTAAATCCATTTGGCAGCCAAACTTGCCTCTGTGAAAAGGCGGTTTTTACATGGCTTCTTAGGAACACTTCTAGTGGAAGTCACTCAGATGGCCACTAGAGGTGCTTCCTTGGTCAATATTGATTCAGATTCAACTTTTGTGTCACTACCATGTGCATACAGGGTAAACGAAATACAGTTGGCCTCTGAACAGACAATGCAGCAGTAATTTTATTAAAAAATAAATAAGTACTGTTTAAAAACATACTTTCAGTGTAAGCTTTCCAATCTATACTTAATACCACAATTTCCTAATACTGAAGAATACAATGTTTCTTCATTACTACCGATTTCCAGCTTAAAAATGCATTGACATTAGAGTGCCACCAATCCAGTGTCTTCACGCTCTGGATGTTCCTCATAGAGATGCATTCATTCAGTGCATCTCTATGAAGTGATGCTGATTGGCACAGTGCACTGTTTTGCTGTGAATGCTCAATAGCTTTTGGATTGGCTAAAAACAATTTTGATGATCTCAGCCAGGAAAGCAGAACAGGGTAGGAGCCAGGTACGACGAGACCAGTGTGGCCCAGGAAAAAAGGAGAGTTTAAACACCTTTTACTCCTCTAATAGGGGAGTTTATATAGCTGTAGTGTCAGGAATATGTTGTATACTTGACACTATAGTGTTCCTTTTGAATTGTAGTATTTTTTTGTTTTGTAAATAAATCATTTGGGTTTTTCAGATTGTGATTGAAAACCTTATCCAAAAGAATTGAATTAAAGCCATAGTTAGAAAAAAGGAACGGGTATAAAAAAGTAACTTGCTTTAAATCATTTCCACATGCATTGAATACACAAATCTCAAAGACACATATTTTCAATGTAAAATATCTCTTCTTTGTTTCAGTGCTACCATCTTTGTGTAACACCCACCTCTGGTTCGTACTCTGCACCACCTGCTGTCTTATGCAATTTATTATGCTTGGGGACCTTTCCTAAAGCAGAGCAAACCTCCTTTGTGACTTTTGTCAGGCTGGCTTAGTTGCCAGCATAACGGTTTCTATTCCTTTACTCCTTAGTTAGCAAGGTCTGCTAGGTCTTTTCTGCTCTCCCCTGTCAGTCAAATCATCAGCATAGTATATGCAATAAGGTTTTACTGAGAAGTAGGAGAAAGATCTGTTATTAAATGTACATGTTTTTTCACAAGGTGTAAATTAAAGTGACTCTATAGTCCCCAAAACAACTTTAGCTTAATGAAGCTGTTCTCTTTGCATGAGGACTGTGAACCTTAACTTCATTCTGATTTGCCAGTTGCAATAGACAAATTATGTATAATGTGCCAGAGATTCTTTTGTGATGGATAATGTTCACAACATTATTTCCATTGTCCCCTTGTCTATGAATATATTTACCAAATTTGTTTTAAATGCCAAGTAAACTTGCTACTTTTTCTTCTCAGGCAATTGAAGAGGAAGGTGGAAATCCAGATGAAATCCAGATTGCTTCAGACACTCCAAGTAAAAAGACTCCTAAGCGAAGTGGCAGAGGTGTGTTTATTTGATCTGGAATGGGGGCAATGGTGAACTTTTTATGGATGAATAGATTGAGAAATAGGAATTTGAAGGAAAGGTGACGATACATAGGACAACATATGCCATGAGAATGGACAATGGAAAAACTGAAATAAGGAAATAATAAAAATTGATTATTCGAGCTGTAACTTGATTTCTTAAAGGGACAGCTCATTAAATTGGGCTGTGAGCAGTTCCAAAGTCATTTTAACGCTGCAATTGTCATTATTGCACTTATTGATAAACTGCAATAATGACATTGCAGGCTTAACCCACCTCTGTGGCACCCCCGGGTCGTGACATTGGACATCCTCACGAGTGCATGATTGCATCAGCTAAAACAGTCTTGCTCCATGAGGCATTGGCACTCGATTCAAGGAAGTGACAAATAGTTTTAACACTTTCTGAACTTTTTGAAGAGGGGGGGCGGGCGCTGAGAAACTATAGTGTACTATAGTGCTAGGAATACACTTTTCAATTCCTAGCACTAGTTTCCCTTAGGATATTGGACACATTGAGTTTATGATCAATGATCCTGCCATTTAATAAACATATTGTGACTTTTTTCCTTTTAAACAGTTCGTAAGCTTGAAGAGGAGGGAGCTGAAGATAATGGTATGGAGGATGATTCTGGGGATAACCAGGTAATGCAGATTTATAATTTTAGCTCCTCGGAGTTCTCCTGTTACATTTATTTGTTTTTGTTGCATTATTTACTCTGCTTCAGTTTCTCTGCCAAAATACTCTTTGGTTTTTATTTTCTATCCATCTGAAAATGTTAACTCTCTAATGACCTTCTTACAGTAACCTAACATTGTCTCTTAAAGTGGCATTGTTCTAAACACTGCAACATGCTGTAGTTATGTTGCCAGAACTCCCTGGGTGAGTGAAATTGTTTGATATTTACTCCCTTACCTGCAGTCCAGTCCCTATTCAGGTATAGTCAAAGCAGAAATTCCTACTTATGCGTTGGATAACACCTTCGTTCCATTTGGACATTGCCAATTATACTTTGTTTTTCTAGGAGTTTGCCTTTGTGCGAGGCAGTTCAGTGAAATAGATTACACTGAATGTTTATAACTTGCATATAGCATAAACCTTTCTTTATGTGTACATAGAAATCACAGCTTATATAGACATTCATGGGAAAACAATGTCCATTTTAAATCTCATCACTTTTATTTTTTAAGTCCTATTAATGCCCTTAGTAATCACGAGACACTGCTTTATGCTTGAATGTATTTTATTTTTTTTATACAAAAGGGGGAGAAAAATGTTATGGGTAGTTATGAGCAAAAACTGTAACTGTAAATTGGATTCGTATCAAAACAATATTGGTTAAAATAATTAGGTAGAACTGCTATTGGTGAGAATTATTTGTCCCAAATTGTGCAATTTATCTTTATGCAGTTTGGTTACAATTAGAGGGACAGGAAAGGATAAATCTAAAACAAGATTGTGGAACAGATACTCTGTGTAAAAGAGAGCAAGAGCATACAGTGTAATATCCTATGGCCACATACACCACTAGTTTGCACAGTTTTGGCAAAATGTCAAAGTACAGATGTATTGTAGCAAAATTAAATTTCAATTTGCACTACTTTGACGACACCGCAAGTGCAACCCAAATAATCTAGCCACTTTAAGGTTTAAGGAAGCAGTTTTCATATTATGGGATATCTTTTTTTGCCCTAAAGGAGTTATGCTCAGTGCAGTTATAGTGGGCCTTCTGATCTGGCGTCATGAGCTGTTCTCATCGTCAATACAGATTACAAGAGGTTATGTCTATTTAACTCTCATTTAGGCTGGACACCAACCATGGACCACTGTATTTAATCTGCTAGAAAGTGCTAAACTATGCAAGGAGGTCTTTTGAAACTTACCATGTTCTAGACATTCTGGAAGATGCGTTTTCAGTGATCAGTCCTATCTTCTCTGTTGCTGTTCTTCTTTTACCAACTACCTAGCTTATTTCCAGTAATGTGGTTTTTCGCTGCCTTTCTTGATCTCCATTGCAACAAAACAGAGCATATGAGAACTCGTAAGAGCAAATAAAAGCTTAGAGAAACAATTTAGTTTGCCCTTTTGTTTAGCCATGCTCAGGTCTCAATGGGTTGGCTCACTTGTTACATTACAAAGAGAAACTATACCATTTGTATATCAAACTCATCCCAACCAGATAGGACAGTACCGAACAGATTCTGCCAGCAAGAGAGAGATCGCAACCCCGGATGAGTGTTCAGTCTTTTTTGGGCCTTGTCAGCAAGGTGTAGCTGATACCCCTATAGGCACAATGACCATGTCGTCCATGTCTGGGTTACCCTCTTTTTTTTTTTCTTTTTTTTTTTTTCTCTCTCTTAGAGCCATTTCAAATTGCATTGCAACAAAAACTGAGAGAATCTGAAAACTGTCTTGACCCCCATGCTCGATTTAACTATACAATTTGGGTTTTCAGCTTTACAAGATCAGGAAAACTTTACATATTTCCAGCTATTATATCCTATTTTTTTGTCCCTTCTGTTCCCTCATATTTTGGGGGGCAGTTGCTTCCCTCATTAACTGGAAGGCTCTCGATTTGTGGCATAAGAGGCTGTGCATTTTCCTGCACCTGTTCTACAAAGCTACTGAACAAAATACACCCAGCCCTTACAAAATGGAAGCAATAATGAGTGACCTGTAGAGAACAGTGCTTTTTGTATATGCACGAACAGCTCTGACTTTGCAAGTGAAGGAAGCGGATTTGGGGTGCGAGATCATAACATAGACATTCATATTCTGAATGTGAAAGCATTGTTCCCCAAATTACATCAGATATTACATGATGTGTTATGGGATTTGTAGGCTTTATTTAAAAAGCAGAGGAATTTGGAAGATGGGTTTACAGGGACCGTCTCCTCATGCCATAAGTTGTAGTGGTTTTGGTGTTGTGATTGTTAATGTAGCCCTTATGTTGCATCGAGCTTTTCTATCTAATTATTTTAGTCATTAAAATGGAGGAGCCTAAATGGGTAAAAAAAAAAATTTTTAGAGACGGATATTTAATCCTAAACAGTATTTCATTTCTCTCTAACTCTCTCATGGGGCGTTTTAATGGCTTGCCAAATATAGTTAAAGGGTTCTTTAACTGTATTTGGCAAACCATTACCACCCCCCACGAAAGAGTGAGGAAAAAAATTTTTGTTAGTGTGCAAAATAAAAACAAATCCATTTTGATAAATCAAAGCGTATATGTGAGGATAATTACTTTTTCTTGAGCATGTAAGTGAGAGCTCAATATGACTGATCAGTGAAGGTAATAAATTTGACAGGCGTGTTAAATCTCTCATATTTTCTTTATCAAAATCTGAGATTCCATGTTCATGAGGATTGTATATTCCAAGCTTGAGAAGGTGTTTATGCATGATAGAAATTTACAGGTGATGTAACCAGTGCACCGTTCTTTGACGGTAGAGTTGCTTCTCAATATAAAATAAAGTAAATATTTACAGTTTGATGTGGAAAGATTTAAAATACAGTAGGGTGATGCAAGAGGAAAAAGTTAAACGATATTTGATGTATAACACCAACAGATGCCTCAGTGTTGGATGCATTATATGTGTCTTGCAAAACTTGCACTATTTTCTAATTGTCCTGAACTTTACCGATCATATCTACTGTGCAACTGTTCTTATTTGTGAGTGCCCGTCCTGTTTCAGTACATTTTAATTTGACTGTAGATGTGTTCTGATTGCCAGCCCATGTTTCACCTGTTTGACTGTTTTGTTCGAAAAGGATTTGCAGTTTTATTAATTTTTATTTTTTTTCCTAGGAGAATGAAGAAACCAGCCAGGAACAAGGTACTGCGTTATTGTATAGATGTCTATTTCTATGTTTTTGATTTGTTTTGTTTTTTTGGTTTTCCTCTTTTATTTTTAAGTTTATATTCTGGCCACATTTTTTTTTTTCTTGAATCATGGGCCACAGAGATTGGAAAAGCATAGCCACCAGATCTGTTAAAATTCTGTATATTTTATCTTGATCTTAATTTTCACAGATTTGGTGACATTAGCAGTGTTTGTAATTTAAATGATAAATAGGGAAGAGCAGCCACTTTGCCATCGTAATGAAAGCGAACTGTCAATACAAGAAGATCAAAGTCATTCTTGAGGAGAACCAACTTGATTCTCACGGTGCTTTAATGTTGCATTGTTCTTACCTGCTGGATCAAAGGAAGATATCTTACTTGTATTGGACCTTTCTGTAAAATGAAATTTCTTTGAAATTGGAAGCTAATTTCAGCATGAAATGCCTAGAAACCAAATGGACATTCAGAAGCTGATTCTTGAAGAACAGTACTTGAGAAAATAAACGTGAAGATAGTCGAGGCGCATCCTGAAGTTTAGTCAGGTTTTTTTAAATTTATAAGTTTGGGGGGTAAAATCAATTTTTTCATCTTTTCAGTTCAATGCCTGTTTTCAGTAACATAGATTTTTCCAATCTCTGTAGATCTTATTTGGCATCCATGCCAGTTCCACACTTGTAATTGCTGTTTTTCCTTGGTAATTAAATTTTGTGCCGTTCTATTCCTATTAAATCTATAGAAAATGAGAGAGTGCTCGACATATTGGGGGAAACTGGTAAATCTGAGCCACTTAAGGAAGATGTTCCAGAAGTGGAGGAGTCAGATAACCAAGATGAAAGTTGTGTGGAGCAAGAGAAGACCAGCGAGGAAGATGTTTTTGTGACCGTCGAATCAGCAGACAGCACATTAGATTTAGATGGCGAGTCAAATCAAGAGTGTGTAACTGAAGAAAGTAACCCTTTAGAGTCAGATGACAGGGAGTCTAAAGACCAGAGCGCACACAAGGATTTTCTGGACATTGAAATGATAGAGCTAGACAAAACAAGCAATCAGTCTAATCAAAATCCTGAAAATATGGAAACTGAAGACAAGTCATGCATTGAGAATGCCAGCGATGGTGAAGACGTTCTAACGAAAACTGAAGAAAACACAGAGGAAGAAACATCTGGCACTAACGTGTCCTTTACAAAAGAGGACGATCAGAAAACGAGGTTTGTCGCTTTCTCAGTTCTAGACCAGATGCTATCTCTTATTTTTCATTATTTTGTATTTTTTTTAGAAATAGGTATTTAAAACACACGCTTACAATTTTCTTTGCAAATGACCACCTGTATAGTCGTGGTTTTACTAGTTATCTAACTTTTAATTTTTTAATTTTTTTTTTTGTATTTTCGTTTGCAAAACCTAGATGTGAAATATTAATATATTTAGGCTAATTGTTCTTCTAGGGGATTGTAAATGCAGACACGACGGTAGGTATTGAATTGCTTCAAATGTTTATCCTCTACTGACAGGCTTTGATTTTTATTTTTATTTAGCTTGGTTGATGATGAAACTGATAAAAGCATCTCAAAGGATGAGAAAGGTATGTTAAATTATTTAAAGTTGATCTAATTAACAAATCCTTGGTGTCTGGATACATACCCAAACTTTCGAAGACTGCAGGAGTAGTGCCTATCCATAAAAGTGGTGACACTACTTAGGTTTCTTACGATCGCCCAATATCATTGCTCCCAGTATTGTCAAAAATCTTAGAAAAATTTGTCCATACACAACTATTTGAGTATTACCAACAATCTAATTATCTGACCCCCTGATCAATCGGGTTTTTGCCCGAATCACTCCACTACAACTGCACTCTTAAAAGTTTGCGATGACAGCCAAACTGGCATGGAACAAGGAGACTTAACTGGAGCTAGTTTACTTGATTTTGCAAAGGCCTTTGACACAGTAGACCACGACATTCTACTGCACAAACTCAAAAACTCAGGTATTGGTGATTGTCCGCTAACCTGGTTTCGATCGTATGTATCGGATCGCTCACAATATGTGTCCATTTCTGACAGTGACTCCCTCCCTCTTCCAGTCACGTGTGATGTTCCCCAAGTTTCCATTCTCTGCCCCCTACTATTTACATTATTTATAAGTGATCTGCCTAATGTCTGCAAATCATCAAATGCACGCAGGCGACAGTAATCTATGCAAGCAAATCCAATCTACCGCAGGTTGTGGCTGTGCTCCAAAACCAGTTTACAGAGGTAGAAAAGTGGATCGCAAAAAAAAATCTTCCTAAACCCTGACAAAACTGTCACAATGAACTTTGGAACAGTACCTAAATTACACAATTCCACCTATCCATCAAAACAAATTCACCACAGTCCACTCTTTCAAATACTTGCGTATGTTGTTAGACCACTTATCTCTTTTGGCCTCCACATAGAAAAACTTGCATCTAAACTTGATCCAAAACTAGGTGCCCTGTACAGAAACAAATCCTACCCAAGCCCTACAGTAAAGGAAAAGATTGTACAGCAAATGCTGATGCCAATCATTGATTTATGGAGATGTAGTATATGCACCTGCACCGCAATCCCACTTTAATAAACTCAAAACATTGTATAACTCGTTCTGCCAATTTGCGCTACAATGTAATTACAGGACCCACCACAGTGACATGCTAAAATAACTAAACTGGCTGTCGCTGGAATCCAGACGCACCCTTCATCTTTCCAGCCTTGTGTTTATGAGCTTTTCTGGGAAGCTCCAGCCCTACCTGAGCAGAATGCTCTCCTCTGCTCTTCCCACCTCCTATAACCTCCGATCCAGTACCAGCACTTGATTTAGTCTACCGAAATACAAAAAGAAAGCAGCCCAGATCCTCCTCTTCCTACAGAGCACCGCAATTATGGAACTACTTCCTACACATTTTCAAATCTTCACCAAGCCTTAAGTCATTCCCTCTCTACATACCTCAAAACAGAATGCATGTGCTATGGTTGATCATATATTTCCTATCTGTTCTATGTTAAATTTTGAAAAAATTGTGTATTAATATTGTTTTTGTATTTTAATTGTACTCTATTGTATCAATGCAATGTTTTGTGGACCCAGGACATACTTGAAAACGAGAGAAATCTTAATGTATCTTTCCTGGTAAAATATTTTATAAATATATATTCTGTAATATGTGGTTGACAAGATCACCTTGGGGTATCATATATATTTGCTTGCAAAGGTTACATTACCAGAAGTCTCAGCTCAGAAAGCTTACATAATGCTTTGTGAGTAGCTGTAATTAACCCGACCCGTATTGTGGGAATGTACACGTGTGCATGCCAATTCTAATTTAAATTTAATCTTGTTTGTTTTATGCAGACCTTCCTTGGCTGTGACTGACACAGCCTACAGAAATAGAATTTTTTTTTTTTCAATTAGATGTAACTTGCATTAAAATTTTAATCTCCTGCTCTGTAAATTGAATTACATACAGGAGGTTCCTGCAGGATATCAGAAATTCTAAATTAAACATAATTTGTAATAAAGTATAAACATTAGATGGCTCTTTGCAGGAAGTGTTTAGGAAGGCTGTGTAAGTCACATGCAGGTGTGACTACGGCTGAATATACAATGTTATTTAAATCCTAAATGGGAATTGAGCAGTGAGACTGCAGGGGTATGATCTATAGATCAAAACTGCTTCATAAACCTAAAATTGTTTTGGTGTCTATAGTATCCCTTTAAGTTTGTTTTTCCCTAGATATTGGATAACTTGACAGTAATCAGAGTACAGGATTAGAGGTTTATACATTTGCCATTTATGTAATTCTATTGGTTAATATTGTCAAAGCACCAATGTAAAATTTACAAATTTCCTTTTGAACAAGGTCAACTTGATGCCAGCTCTGGCAAAAATCTGTGGGTTAGTGGCCTCTCATCCACCACAAGAGCAACTGATTTGAAAAATCTCTTCAGCAAATATGGAAAGGTAAGTGATGTGGAGTGACTATTTTCCAATTCCCAAATAATGATTTATCGTACAGTCTCCTTCCTAGTGCAAACTGTTCAAAAAAGAAACAATACTTTCATAAAGCTTAATGTTATTGGTGTTCTAGTTTTGATTTTGAGTAGTGCACACATATCGGTGTCTATTTAGATTGATACATGCAATCTACCTTTCTGCATTTAGCAAACAGGCAGAGCGCTATTAAAACAAATTTCTTGGAAATATCAATGGGGGTTAACCCCTACAAATACGAATTAAGTGAAAACTAATGATATTTCCTAGAAAAATAATAGAAAAAATAGAAAAAAAAATTTCCTAGAAAAAACAATTCTTTAGACAATAATTGAAATATAACTTTTATTGGTCTTCTTTAAAAATACTGTAAACAACCAGGTTAAATTCTAAAAGCACTATACACAGAAATATCACAATAATCAACCAAATGATAATTCAAAGCTTACAAATTCACTTTACTACTGAAGGAAATATCCCTAACCCAGCTGGAAGCTAAACGAAAAATAAACTACAAATTAAAATATTGTTGCAACATGATCAAGCAATCGGTTGAACAAACTCGCAAAAAAAATCAATAAGTAGTTGCTGTTTAACCCCGTCCGCACGGAGTCAATAGTGCACGTTCTGATCAAAACAAAACGTAAACAAAAACTGGAATTTGCGCTATGTCTGTTCAACTGTAATTCACCGCTGTCACATTAAGTACACCCACACTTATTATATATCATTTTGTTCAGGAGAAACAGGGCTTTAATTTAGCATTAACTATTCATATATGGAACATAATTTATTAAAAAATTTTAAAAAGTGAGAAAATTTGTATTTCCGTCTGACATTTTAGCTGTGAATGTCATAATACTGTTAGGTTTTACTGCACAAAAATGCATATATTTGTAATCTGCAATGTCTCACGAGTACAACAGTACCCCCCTCTCCCCCCATTAACAGGTTTTATGGTGTTTTGGAAAGTTACAGGGTCAAATATAGAACGTTCCATTTTCAAATTGAAATTTGCCAGATTAGTAATGTTACCTTTGAGACGGTGTGGTAGCCCAGGAATGAGAATTACCCCCATAATGGCATACCATTTGAAAAAGTAGACAACCCAAAGTATTGAAAGTGGGGTATATTTAGTCGTTTTTTTTTTTTTTTTTTAGTAGCCACAAACACTGGCCAAAGTTAGCGTTCATATTTGTTTTTGTGTGAAAAAAGCAAAAAAAATATTTGGCCAGTGTTTGTGGCTACTAAGAAAGACTGGACATATCCCACTTGCAATACCTTGGGTTGTCTACTTTTGCAAATGGTATGCCATTATGGGGGTAATTCTCATTCCTGGGCTACCATACACTCTCAAAGGCAACATAATAAATCTGGCAAATTTCAATGTCAAAAAAATGAAATGCAAGCCTTATATGTGACTCTAACTTTCCAAAACACCATAAAACCTGTTCGTGGGGGGTACTGTTATTCTCGGGAGACTTCACTAAACACAAATATTAGTGTTTTAAAACAGTAAAACATATTACAATAATATAGTCCATAAAAGTGCTGTTCGTTTGTAAAAAATGCAAAAAACTTCACTTTCACTTAAAATATCATCGTTGTAATACAATTTACCAGTTTGAAACCCTAATATTTGAGTTCAGCGAAGTCTCCTGAGTAAAACAGTACCCCCTATGTACAGGTTTTATGGTGTCTTGTTGGAGAGTTAGAGGGTCAAATATAGTGCTTGCGAATTAAATTCTCTGCACTTTCTCCCTGTGTTGTCAGGCATGTCAATCAAATTTTAATTAAATAACATAATTATGTTAAAAATTATTTAAATGTACATGTAGAATTTTAATATGCATTTATAGGTAATTAAATTCTACATGTATACTAATGTAATTATGTGTGTAAAAAAAAAAAAAATATATATATATATATATATATTTTGTTTTTTATTATTATTTTAAAACCTTTTTTTAAAATTTTTTTTTTTTTTACACTTCCCACCAGCAGGGGGCTGTCTGACAGCTCAGACAGTCCCACTGCTGGCAGTTCCACAGCCTGCTATAGGGGGCCATGTGATCTCTTTGAGAGCGATCACATGGCCCCGGGGGGCCTAATTTGCCGGGGGAGGGCTGCCTGGGCTGTCAGGCAGCCCTCCAGAAGAGGATCGCAGCGGAGGGAAGTACGCCGGACCTCCAGGGGCTCAAAGCCGTTACGGCGCTCTATGCCGCCGCAACGGCTTTAAAGCCCACTTAATGCGGGACAGCATATATAACGCCTTAACGGGTTAACAGATGTCCACAAAAGTTATGGGTATACAAAATGCTTCATGGTATTTAAGGGAGACAAAAGTGGCTACACTCGCAGATCAGGGAAACAATATGGCACACTTCCATATTTTTTGGAGATGTACTTATGCATTTTATACATTTTTAGGTGGTTGGGGCAAAAGTGGTTACAAATGCTCGTAGTCCTGGTGCACGTTGTTATGGATTTGTCACAATGTCCTCTTCTGAGGATGCAACCAAATGTATAACCCACCTTCACAGAACTGAGCTACATGGAAGAATGATCTCTCTGGAAAAGGTTAGTGGGGGCAATATATACTAGTGCAAGTTTAAAGTATTTTGGTGGTAATGGTTCTGTCAAGTACAGATTTATATATTCACATTTTAAAAAATTATGCATATTCTCAATGTATATTTTATTTTTGGGGGGGAGGGGGAGATTTGGCTAGGTTAAAGGGTATGAGGGTAGTTATGCCTAAGCTCAACACATCAGGATTCATTGTTCACCTGCAATTTGTGCTAGGTGAAAGTACAGAGATTTGTGCCTCTGTTACCTTTAGTATCTTCATCTGGTGCAGTGAACGGGATTGGAATAGTATGCATTTTTAGCTCCCTTGTACATTTAGATGTAATTTGACTGTTCCAGATTTTGAGGAGATTGTCAGATCATGATTCTCACGTTTCAGCTGTGATCGTAAATTTTGAGGTCCTCTTACTGCTGTTTCTTGTGGAATGGTGCATGCTGTTTTCGTGGGATATAACTCCCATCAGTCCCAGGTAGATTGTCTGAGCACTACCTGTAGTTCAAGAGTTTTCTGTAACCACCAAATTTAAAGTAAACACTTTCAGGGTTTCACACTGTGTGAAATGTTGGAAATTAATTCAGCGTGAATTTCTACTTTAAAACCAAAATAGATGAACTGGAAGCAGAATACTGTTACTTGGATACATTTTGACCTTGAATTAGAAATTAATGGATTCAAATAATCACCCTGATAGACTTAACAACCCTCATCCTTTGAAACAGGCATAGATCTTATCATATTGCTTGACTTAATGTTTTACGCTTGGTGTATGTGCCAAATAGATCTGCATTAGTGTGGTATGTTTCCAATATTCTCGATAAATTACTTTGTTTTTTCATATGCAGTGATCAATGTGTCCTAAGTTTGAATTATTTATTTTAAGGCTAAAAACGAGCCTGCTGGAAAGAAACCTGAAAAGAAAGAAAATGAGCCAAAGAAAGAAAAGACTTCTAGCAATGACAGGCGTACATCAACTGATAACAAGTCCGAAAAGTAAGTAGTGATAGTTTAATGCAGGATCACCACTTGTTGAGTATTTATTTGCTAAATACCTGCTTGGGTCAGTATTGCTCTGAACATGGAAATGTAGTATGGGGAGTGCATTTGGGTGGTCACTTCACATGAGAATTGGTGGTCCACTGTAAGAAACACTTGTAACTTGGTTATCTTCTGGTCATTTACCATTCTTAGTTAGCCCTAAAATGTCTAATGCACATGGTGTCGTTGGGCTACATGTAAACCTCTGCATTTCACATGCATAAACTTTCTAAAAAAAACTTTTAAAACTTTCTAGTATTTTCTAAAGAATTTCTTTGAATCCATATATTCATATTTACTGGCTGACAGACAACAGTTCCTGAAAGTCTTCCCCAACCTTTTGTTACAATAGTTGTAAGCACCCAATTGTTCAGAATATATTTGTATCCTGTAGCCTTAGGATGATCCTTCACAGTAACGAAGGGGCCTAGCTTAAACCCTGGGAACAATTACACACTGTTCTCACTCAGACTTAATCAGTAGCTCTATGCATTGCATTAAATAGTGTATTCCTGTCATCTGCCAGCCCAGATAAACAGTAAAGTGTGATTCATCACTTTAGAGAACATGTTCTACTGCTCCAGAGTCCAGTAGCATGTTTTACACAACTTCAGCCAATGCTTGCCATTGCAAGTGTTGATGAATCGCCCAGTGTGCAGTTCTTATACTGGTGTGGCCACCAGAGGCAGTTTGAAACTCTAATGAGTTATGAATCGGGTACATTTATGATAGAGATATATATCTATTATTTTTTTTAACTATGTTTACCTTGTGAATGGAATGTTTTATCCTAGACTCTTCCAATTCAAAATAATGGCACTTAGAGCTGACAGAAGCAGATCTAATAGGACAGACATTTTATTTGCCTATGAAAGCGTTTTGTTACGTTCTACCACTCTGTGGAGATTGCATTGCTTATGCTGGATTTTATGCACATGTTGGCAATGGGTGAGACTGAAATAACTGTAATTAGTATGGATATTCAAATACTTTGGCCATATATAATTTATATTGTAGGAATTTATAATTAAGGGTATTCCAGGGTTTTGTTTTTAATTTTACCGCGGTCATTCTAAACAGAATGTCTGTGATGGCTGGTGACCTTAGCCGGCAGTCTTGGTTAAACGTTTAGAGATTTGAACACCAATACTGTGTGTTCCTTAATAGGATTACCATAGTTTATCTACTAAATTGGACCTTTATGCTTAAGTGTTCTAATTAACTACAAATAAGGCAATACATAATGGAAAATGGAGTGTCTAAAAGACTAATGCAACACTATAAAATATACTGTTCAGCTGACTTCCTGTCTTAGAGTGTGAAGTAAAAGTGTGAAATTGGAGGTTATTAGGCATCATTCAATCTTTTCTGGCAGAATAATCCACACCTTATCTTGCACTTGCTAAAAAATACAATTTTGCAATACTGAATATTTTTCTTTCTTCCAAGACAAAAAAACCCCTCAAGTCTTCATTATTAAAATGTTAAAAATCCAGGTCTGAAGATACTGATCTTCAGGTACTGATACACTAACAGTCACCACATTAAAACCACTGACTGGTGAGGTGAATAACTGATTATATTGTTAGAGTGGCACCTGTCAAGGGGTGTGATATAATAGGCAGCAAGTGAGCAAGTCTGAATTTCGTGTTTTGGAAGCTGGAAAAATGGGCAAAGGTCAAATCGTGAAGGCTAGACTGTCAGTCAATTTTTGTGGGGTGTTTCTGGTTCATAGTGGTTAACTACCAAAAGAGTGGCAAGGAAGGACAAGCTCTGTACCAGTGTAAGGGTCATGGGTGTCCAAAACTCATTCATGCACGTGTGGAGCAAAGGCTAGCCCATCCGGTCTGATAAGACTTACTGTGCTAAACGCTAGCCAATGCTGTGTGCACCTATCTAGACAGACAATGTAACATCTTTACAGAAATGGTGTCTTTGTCCTCTTTCAGTTGGATAATGCACCCTGCCATACTGTTATGCTCCTCAAACCATTCCTGCACTATGTTTGCAAAGAGTTCATGGTGTTGCCTTGCCCTCCAAATTCATCATATCTCAATTCAACTGTGGGATTTGCTGCAACAAATCAGATTCGCTGAGGCCCCACCTCACATCTTACAGGACATTAAGGTTGCTAATGTATTGGTGCAAGATAGCACAGGACACGTTCAGAGGTCTTCAGGTGTCCTCAATGCTGTTTTGGCAGCGCAAGGGGACCTACAGGAATTGGGCAGGTGGCTTTTATAGAATATACACAATCAGTGGATGCTCTATAAAAAAGAAAAATAAACCTTGGATCATGGTACATGGCTGACATTTTTTGAACTGAAAACTTTTATAGTGAGCTGCGGCATTAGTCCAACAGGATCACACAAATCTTAAACTTTTAAGTGTAAAAAAATACTATATGGCCGAATGTTAAGGTTTTTTTTTCATTTTACCTCTTTGTTTGACATTGTTTCACTTGTATGCTTTGAGTTCATCTCCACTTCTTTGTCCATTAAATATCTTAGATCTCAAATGTGTTTTTTGTGTGGGGTGTTTGTGTTTTTTTATTTTATATATTTTATTTTTTTTATACCGGTCTAAATGATCACTGGCTCCTCAGTGAAAGTAGGTGCTACTCTAAGGGGAACCAATTTTTTTTTTTTTCTTTCTGATTACAATGGTTGACATGGTTTTGCTTTATTCTGTAGAGCGATCCAGCTTCTGCTGCTGCTCTGTGAAACCTAGGTAAATTGTCAAACTGTGCTAAAACTACTGTTTGTCACCTTACCGTGGGTTGATGCCAGGGCACTCCTGACACCATAATCTCTATATCGAGCTATATTGTTTATGGTGCTTGGAGCGTTGCTTTCATAAAACATTCACTTTTTTATTTTTCTTGGCTATAACCTTTTAACAGATTAATATGTAACTATGACACAAATGTACATCTTTTAATGTGCAAATGATATTGGCAACTGTGTTAGGTCCTCACCGGTGAAGAAAGATGAAGCGGCTGCTAAAGATGATGCTAAACCCGAAGAAAAAGAGGATACTGAAAAAGACAAGGAAGAACCCAAGTCTGGAACAGATCGTTCTAGAACTAGCAAGTCAGGTAAATTGGTCTTTGAAGAGTCGACTTTTTTAGTACTGTTGTGTTTTGGTTTTTTTCTCTTTAATATCTTTGACAAATCTATGCATTATCAGTTTGTGTGGTAAACTGGTATCTGCATGTACAGAAACTTTTTTTTTTTTAGTTTTTTTTTTTGGATAGTAAAAACTACAAGAAAAGACTCACTCCTAGCTGGGGGGGAAAAACTGGCAAATATTAATTGTATTGTCATTAAAGGGAAGAGTTTTATGTACCATAATCTTTTATCAGAATGTTTTTGAGTGGCTTGACCAAGTCTACTGAGCTATGGTGGCTTGGCCCCTTGGTAAATTCCTGCATTAGCAGTATACATTTTATCAAAGTGTTTACACTATTCATTGACTGCATGTGTCGACTGATGCTCAATCAATGGAAACTGCCCTAATGCTGATGGAATTGATAATGCTTGTGAGTAGTTACATTTGAAAAGTGCCATTATATGCAGATATATAGTTGATCTAGTTGATTTCCTGTCTTCTTTTTTTTTCACTGAACATTTTTCTCTGGATCTTTTTCATGCGGCTTTTAGGAAGTAGAGGAACAGAACGTACGGTTGTCATGGACAAATCAAAAGGCGAGCCGGTTATAAGTGTTAAAACATCAACTGACTCAAAGGAAAGGGTAAGGGTTCAAATTAAACTAGTATAAAGCTAAGCTTTTCTGGGAAATGTAGGCTCAGAATAGTTGAAATTTTTTATTTTGTTTTAAATCTATTTTTAAATCTGAGTTTACTATTCAGAAACCCTGTGTGCTTTCAGGACTTTCACACTCCTTATAACTTCTACTTTAGATGGCTTACACACTGTATTCATGAAAATATACATTGCCTATTTTCTTCTAAAAGTTCATGTATGTGAGGGGAAGAGCACTTTTATGGTTTACTGCATTCTAGCAATTAGTTTGGACGTTTTTGTTTTGAACAAATTATAACTTGAGCAGTTAAAAGCAATTTGTATGATTTTCTGTTTGTGTTTTGCCGTTTTGCATGACCTTTTCTAATGCTTAGAAAAATAGCTAATATTCCACCTTCATAACTTTTCTTTCCACTATAGAGTTCTAAAAGTCAAGATCGCAAGTCTGAGAGTAAAGAAAAGAGAGACATACTCTCATTCGATAAAATTAGAGAACAAAGGGAGAGAGAGAGACAAAGGCAACGAGAGAGAGAAATAAGAGAGATGGAAAGGCAACGGTAAGGGCTTTAATTTGCCACAATCATTACTATATTGGCCCAAATTGAATCACTGCTGATTGGTTTTTGTGCCAAGATTTGTGAGGATATAGTTTTACCTAAGCTCTGTTACTTTAGGCATCTTATACCTTCACACTTACTTTTAATTCTAATTAAAAATCAAATTTTAAGAGATCATTATTAAATTAAGAATTCAAGATATAGAACCAATACTTTGTAAAATGGAAAGTAGCTGCATAGTCTTACGAGGGTGGTGGTGGTGGTAGTATTGAATAATATTTTCAAGAGTGATTGAATGGTGAACAAAAAGTGCTCTACTATCTATTAAAAAAAATTGAGCCCTGCGCCCAAAATCCATATTCATACATTAAAAAAACCAAAGGAAATTGGATAGTATGCAATATTTATTTGTTAGTTTTAACTGCTCTAATAAACCTTGGTGGTTATATTTGCAACTAGTGTCAGAAATCCGCCAACATAATTTAAAGACTTGACCTATTTTAAAAAAAATCTTTGTTGTGAAATCATACAAGGCAGACAAATTTTTCACAATTTTGATATAAAGTTATATAAATCCACGCAGCGCATATAGTGAAATTGTCTTAAAAGAAAACTCACAGGTAGGAGTTACGTGGAGGAAAAAATACTTTGCTTATGTTCATTTCTCACTACTCTTACATCAATTTAATTATCCCTCTTATCCCTATTTTCTCTTTTAAACAGGGAACGGGATAGGAGAGCAAGAGAGAGAGCCATTATAATTCGTGAAAGAGAAGAGCGAGAGAGGCTCCGCAGGGAACGTGCTAGACTTGATTTTGAAAGGGAACGTTTAGACCGAGAACGAATGGAACGAGAGAGACTGGAAAGAGAGCGAATGCGAATAGAGGATGAGAGGAGACTAGAACAGGAGCGAATTCAGAGGGAAAGAGAGGAACTGAGACGCCAGCAAGAACGACTTCGTTATGAGCAAGATCGAAGACCTGGCATAAGAAGACCGTATGATATAGATTTAAGGTATCGTGTAATCACAAAAGAAGCTTTTGAGCTGTATTTGAATATCCTTGTTATCAGCACATTACTAAATTTAATTCAGGTCTAAATGTTGTGCGTGTGTATTTTTTAATTGGGGGACTAATTTTTTTTATCATTATTTTAAGAAGAGATGATGCACATTGGCCTGAATCAAAGCGCATTGCATTGGATGAACGGTATCGTGATTTTGGAAGACAAGAACGCTTTCATGATTTTGACAGAGAACGTGGTAGATACCCAGATCACTTGCACATAGACAGGTCAGTAACTTTTTGATGCTCAGTTGGTTTGAGCAGCACTCTCTATTCTCATTTTGTTTTGTAAATTGAAAGATATGTCCACAGTGAACAGTGGGAATGTTGCCCTGGTCACAGAGCAGGCAGGTGCAGTAATGAATGCATGAGGAAAGAGTGGTTGTTTACAGGGATTACAATTTGCCACATGTAACTGTTCTACTTGATTTGCATTTCATTGTCCCCTCTATAACACTATTGCTCAATTTTCACATTTAGATTTTGACGGATCCCTCCTATTATCTTACCTTTACATTAAATTGAGCAGTGTCAAGAATGCCGTCACACAGCTGTATTCTACAGATATGTCACATCATGCATCACTGCTGTGTGAGCTTCTAGAAGCCTGATCTTTACAAGCACAGCTCATGTGGTTGTGCTTCACTACCTTTTCCTTCCATGTGCAAGAATGTTGTTAACTCCCCTCCTACCCAGTGTCTGTATGTAGTATGTGGACAGGCTAGGCTTCCTTGCAATTTATGCTTGCAGGTGGAGAGAGTGCTCGTGGAAATGGCGCATATTAATATTACAATTGTTCCTAGTAACTGGGTCTTCTGATTATCGGAAAGTGTAATGAAATCTACACTTTTTTAACTTATATTTGCTTTTTTTATCTTAGGAGGGATGATTCAAGGTCTGGTCTTGGAGGTAGAGACGGGGTAAGTGTTTCTTCCTTTTTGAGATGCCTGCCTTTTATTTCAGCAGCTTTTTCCCCCAGGTATACAAGTACAATTGGCTATACAAGTATGACTAATTCACTGTCTTATAGCTACATTTCCTTATGCCTTCTTTGCCATTTAAATATCCCTATTTTTGTATTTCCCAAAGAATTATTCTGAACGACATGGGAGAGAAGGTTGGGGAGGCTATGACCGTCGTGTCAATGAAGGCAGAGGCATCCAAGCACCAGGAAGGTTAGTTTTAATTTTATGTATTTTGGGGTTACTAATTCTTTCTTCTTCTTCTTTTTTTTTATTTTTTTTTTTATTGGTAATGTATACATACTGTAGTACAGGGATTCCCAAGTAATTTTTCCCGAACCCTTTGACATAGTGTATCACACATACTCATTGACAAGAACAGATACATTCTCACTGACAAACACATACAAACTCCCTAACAGACACACTTTTTTTTTTTTTATTTTTTTTTTTTACATTTTACTCCACTCAGCCCCCCTACCTTTAGGAGTGCTGGCATGGGGTCCAATGGGGCTGCTGAACAGCTGGTGTGCAGTGATCCTCAGCTCCGTCGCGTGCCTCTTAGTGATACCGGAGTGACGTCATATTCCGGCTCCAGCACCACTGCTGTGCGCGCAAGGGAGCTGAGCAGGGGCAGGGAGATCACTGCTCCCTCGCCGCCTGCTGCCATTTTATTTTCACATCTTTTGCCGGAACACCAATTGGGAAACACTGCTCTAGTCTCTAAAAAGTGAAAATATCCTTTAATATCATGCATATGCCTTTAAGTACTGATTTTAATTTCAATTACAGTCTTTAATATTAAAAAAAATATATATTCTTTTTCAGAGATGGCCGTGATTGGGGAGATCATGGGCGTAAAATTGAAATGGATAGAACAAGGCCAGGTGCTGTAGATGGTATTGCTGGAAGAGACCATGACAGGTGGCAAGGTGGGCTTCATGTTCTGTTGCAGATTTTGCTTCAAATTGTTTTATTTTCCATTGTCATTTGCATGCCATATAACTTTTAATATCGTGCAAAAGAGAAAAAACAAACTTGTCTTTGGATACACACTTTTTAAAATGTAATTCAAAACTCATAGAAGTATAGGGTGATAAGTGTACAGCACTATGGAATGTGATGGCGCTAAATAAATAAGAATGTAGATTTACATTTTTTTTATTACAATTCGTTATTTTATGGTTTTAAATTATCTTGATTTTTGAAGTTTGTACCTATAAATTATTTTTTAATAAAACCATTGAATAAGTATTCATTCATTGGTCTAAAAATAATTTGTGCAATTCCTTTATAATGATAGCTAAGCCTGGACACCTGGGTCATAGTCTGCATGATGCACAGAGTGCAGGGTTTAGTCTGGTGGACAAAGGTAGACTATTAAATAGTGGAAGCACAGAATCATCCAGGTGTACTTTGCTGATCTGATCAGTAATAACTTGCTTATAGTTGTGAATGTTTTTTTTTTTTTTTTTTTTCCTCTACATGGGCAGAAGTCAGAGATAATGGTTTTATCTTGCTCCAAGATTAGTGTTAGACCAGAAATTCAAATTCCTGAGATGGCACGGCACTGATACACACATCTGGCCATATACTTTGGTCCCCTCCAGGATGCTAAATGCTTTGCTTTAAACTCAACATATTTATAGTGTCTGTCACTTGCCTTTCTCCTATTGTGTCCTCTTCTCTACCTCATTCAGGATTTGATTTTTTTTTTCTCTTAAAATGTAGGAACTACTTTGTCTTATGTATTTTCCCCACCTAGGCCATTGATATAGGAAGCTGAGCGTGCCTTAAACTCCACCCTTTTGTCAAAATTCTTAGGTGTAGGAAAGATACATACAATAAGGCAGTCCCTACTTGTTGGAAAGGCTAAGGCTTATGTTAGAAAATGAACAGATTGTGAAAGAGTAAGAAGTTGAAACAATAGGAAAAGGGTAAGGTAAAGTTGAGGTGACAGATCCACTTCAATCTCTCTGTATTATGGAGCATCTCAAGCAGCTCTTAACGTGGTCTGCAAATCGTGATGACTGATGAAAATGTAGGCAGGTTATACGGCATGTTATTTGGCCCCTGTGGACAATGCACTTTTATGGTTAGTCAACTGTGCCAGCTTGTTAGTGCAAATTTTTTTATTTTTTTTACTTTTCTTTTTTTTTTTAATTTTTTTTTTTTAAATCCAATTTGTTTCCTTGCTCTGTTTGAAGTAATCCATTAACTGGATTAATTGTGATATATTTTTCTATAATTTAGTGTTGGTTTTAATACACAAATGAGTAATCGTCAAATGATTGTGTGGTAATTTTCTCATCATACTATGTTTATGTATCAAAAATTCTAATCTTTAATATTGTTACTTATGAAATTGCAAATATTTTTAAGGCATTGGTGTTGTATACTAGATAAGTTTGCACTACTCAAACTCTGGCAAATGTAAGATGATGCAAATTATTAAATACTGTATTTGTCTCTTTTTAGGAGATCGTGGCATGCCTGGTTCATCAGGTCAAGGGAACATAATGGGTAGAAGTGGCATTCCTGGGTAAGCAAATATAATTATACATACCTGTACATATGTTTTGATCTTGGTCAACTCTTTTTCAAAGTAGAATAGTGGGGGTGGAGGGGTTCATTCCCTCCTTCAACCATGCCAATTACGAAGATAATTGATACTGTCAGTAATATTTCCATCGGACTGCAGGGGTTTAGGAGATTGCACAGGTCCTTTCATTGTTTGCAATATGAAGTGTTTGGTAACCTTGTTAGCATACACTGCAAAAGAAACTCTACAGGAAATTGAAGATATGGTTTAATCTAAAACGTTTTCCTGCTTTACTATCTGTTTCCTGCAAAAATTGAAATAATTTTTTTTTTTTTTTTGTTGTTGTTATATAACAGATTTCTACCGGGTGAAAGTTCTCAGGGCCTATCTGCAGCATTGGGAATTCAAGGAGGAAACTTTGGAGGGCAAAACAGACCCAATGACCCTCGATTTGGCAATCGCTACTGAATATTTAATAAAATTTGGTTTTTAATTCAATGGATAACTAATGGAGAAGATGACCAAGGCTGGTTGTTCTGGGTTTTTTTGTTTTTTGTTGTTTGTTTTACTTTTTAAGTTGGTTGTTTTGGATTTCCGTGACTAGACCTTTTTGCCTTGTAATAGACTTTTTGTTCTTAAGCCATTAAAACACACATTTGTTTCTGTCAATGAAACATTCCATTTAATAATAAAAGAATGACTACCCTTTGTGAATTACTTTAAAGTGTGGTCCTTTCCAGTTTTGCTACAGTTGTTTTTTTGTGTTTGTTTTTGTTCTTGACTCTTACTCTAGTTCTATCCCTAATTACAGAAGTTGTTTTACTGCCCTTTCCCACACACAATCTATTTAATATTTCATGTTAACAAGGGAAATCTTATACTTACATACTTTAATTTCCTTTCCTTGTACTTTAACTTTTTTCTGTGTATCAATTTTTTTTATTAAATGTTCATTCAGTGCACATAAATAAACAAATACAGAAAATAAACATTTCAGAAAAATACATTTACTGTGAGTTATACCAGGAAGTTACAATTTCAAATATGGAGGTAGTGCCACAGAGACAAAGTCCGGTTGAATTTGGGCATTGTACCTTGCATTTTTTGTCACATTTTCATATAATCTATTTAGTGCCATTCTCTCCAGAGCCTAAGTCATAGATGGGGGGTTGGAGATTTCCACCCCACCGTTACAGTGCATCTGACAGACCTTAATATTTGCATAATAACCCTATTTGGGTTATGTTTTGTATTGTATTTGGGACCAAAAAATGTTCACTATGTGGTTCCCTGAATTTGGGAGACTGCGGAAGTCTCTGCATTATGTGTAACACCCAATTGATACATTCTTGATTCCAGGACCTCTATCTTTGAACTCGGCTCGCGTACGTCTCTGTGGATATCTTCTGTTTTGATATATAAATACACTTTTATAGTAGAACATAAGGACTGCATTATCTTGGAAAGTTTCTTTTCAGAGGCAGACATCTAGTCTCCCACCGCCAATAGGCTCTCTACTTCTGAACATGCATGAAAGGTGAGAGGAGACCTCTCCCTTCCACCATCTTGGATCAGCTGCACATCCTTGTTGCTGGATTTAAAATTAACATTTGGGGTCTTTGCAGGAAGCCATCTTGTGTAGACACACAAGCAGACATTGCATCTTGCCTGTTAACAGCTTTGTTACTGTAGTTTTAGGCTGAAGCCCCATCGAGCTAGCACACAATGCGACGACTCTGCTACACTACCCCGGCTATTGACATTTTATAGGTAACACCTTCCAATATGAATGGAATTTCTAAAAATTTATAACAAAGAATTCACTTTCCTATGTGTGTTTGTGTTCTAATTTCTAATCAAATGTAGCATAGGGGTTCATTGCTTCTATTGTCTATGGAGACCAGGTTTGTGGGGTGGGGGAAGTTTGAATGTCTGGGAAATATCTAAGCAATAACATCAGTATTCAATGTATGATTACATTCTGTAATGTCCACATACTATAATCTGCAAAATCAACTCATGAAGTGGTTTGAAATCCATCTGAATACATTAGTCTTAGATGACATGATGGCTACATTATATATGTGATACTTGAAAAATTTGAATATCGTGCAAAAGTTCATTTATTTCAGTAATGCAACGTAAAAGGGGAAACTAATATATGTGAGAGAGCATTTAGATTACATGCAGTCAATAAAACAAGGAGGGTACATAGAACAATATCGGACCTCAAAGTATAAGCATGCATATGCACTCAGTACTTGGCTTGGGCCCCTTTTGCAGCAATTACTGCCTCAATACGACGTGGCATGGAAGCTATCAGCCTGTGGCACTGCTGAGGTGTTATGGAAGACCAGGATGCTTCAATAGTGGCCTTCTGCATTGTTTGGTCTCATGTCTCACATCTTTCTCTTGGCAATGCCCCATAGATTATGGGGGTACAGGTCAGGTGAGGTTGCTGGCCAATCAAGCACTTTAATCCCACGGTCATTGAACCAGGCTTTGGTGCTTTTGGCCGTTTGGGCATGTGCCAAGTCCTGCTGGAAAATGAAGTCGGCATCCCCATAAAGCTTGTCTGCAGAAGGGAGCATGAAGTGCTCCAAAATCTCTTGGTAGATGGCTGCATTGACCCTGGACTTAATGAAGCACAGTGGACCAACACCAGCAGATGACATGGCTCCGCAAATCAACACAGACTGTGGAAAATTCACACTGGCGTTGTGTGCCTCTCCATTCTTCCTCCAGACTCTGGATCCTTGGTTTCCAAATGAGATGCAAAAGTTGCTCTCATCAGAAAAGAGGACTTTGGACCACTGAGCAACAGACCAGGTCTGTTTTTCTTTAGCAGCATTAAGGGAAGCAGGGATACTGTTTTTAAAATATCTAGATTTCATTATCCTGGTATATAACTTACAGTACCATCAATGGTGATGACTGGTTGCGCATGATTAGACATGCTGCTTACTCTAGTACATTCTCTTTCTTCTTCCCTCAGAAATACGGACTTGTGGTGTCTTTGCAGAAGTTGGTTCAAACTGACACTAGGGAGATGATCCTTCGCAAGAATAATGCTTGAACTAGCTCTGGTAGAAGTAACTGCAGTGCCAGAAGAAGGTATTGAGGGGCTGGTTGTCCCACAATGGCTGATTCTTCTGCTACCGTAGACTTTGAGTTACTCAATGTAGCAAAAAAAGTCTGAGAATGAAACAGTATCCTTCCTTCTGAGTGTTCATTCAGATATAATGGACATGTTCGTCCCACTATCCTGAGACTGAATACCATTAACAACAGTGCTGGTTGTGGCAGTGGTGATGGAGGTGTCAGTAGTCTTTATCGCTAATGAAGTGGATCTAAGACTGAGAAGAGCTGCTGATGGTGGTTTGGAGAACATGACCCCTACTCTCCCTTAATTTTGTCATAAGATTAGTACTTTACATTGATAGTGGTTTTGTTTTTATTAATATATATTAATATATATTAAGATATGAATGTGCATTTTGTAATTACTGACACAACATTAATAAGAAATAAACAAAAACAAAGAGGTTGCGCCACAAGAATACAATATAATACTGTTGTCAGTAATCAAATGAAATAGTCAAAAATAAAAAGGAATACCCCTTCATATGCAATATACGTTCTTGGGTAGATGGTAGATTCTTCTACTGGAAAGTAGGTTAATTTAATGGAGCTATGACCAGCTCCAGTTGTAGTAGCGTACAGTGGTATAATCCCCACTTCCGAGATATGTGTATAAGTGTCCGAAGGAGAGGTCGTTTTATTGAACTTAAAAAGGCAGATAATAGTGCTCTTTGTTGCAATAAAACCATACTAAAATAATAATTGTAGTTAATACTCACAAATATAGAGCAGGCAAACTGCTCTTTGGATAAGGCTCCGGCGGTATGAGCCCCACCTAGGATTTCTTTGGAGTAGACAGGAAGTAAATAGGATAAAATAAATTAATCTAAAACAAAAGGTTATTTGACACAGTACAAAGTATAGTGACCAAAAATCTTCTATAGATAAAAAACAAGAAAGTAATAATTTCCATAAAGCATTTCACCACATAGGGCTTTATCAAGTGGTTTATATAGGGACTGTCAATTTTAATATTAGCTCCAAAAAATGACATTACAGTCCAATCAGTAAATACAATAATTTGTTACAACACGACAGAAAGACTTTACTATAAAAATATTTGTTATTATAAATATTATTACTATATTAAAAACCAAAGAGAAGTGAATGTAAAATTAGACATTTAAAGGTTAATACGTGTAATTTCTATAATTTTCTCTCTCTCTTTCGTGTGTGTGCTGTGTTAGGGTGCTGTTTCTGTACTGTGTGTTTGAGGGTGCTGTATGTTGGTGGGTGGGGGGGGAATTCTTGTTCCTGCTGCTTTCCCTGGTGGTCCAGTGGAGAGTGAACTCTAGCCCCTGTGGGGCTAGAGTTCACTCTCGTGAGATCTGAGCGTTGCCACAGAAAAGCTCAGATCTCGCGAGAGGAACCCGGGTCCTCTCCTGCTTCCCTTAATGCTGCTGTGGGGAGGGAGGCTTAGAGCAGAGCCCACAGGGGAGATACAGTGCACACTTTTCCCCAATTCTTAGATGTACCCCAAATATGTGGTGAGGAACATATCCAAAAATCACCCAGATCAGACCAGGGGTTCGGGAGTTATGAGAAGGTAAAGTTTTGACCGACCGCAGGGGTAAAGTAGCCGAAAATAGTTCCATGAGATCTGGCCCTGCGGTCGGTCTCTGTTTGTGCCTCAAAAGTCCCGAAAGGCTATACCATCCACAATGAAGTTGGTAACCGGATGAATCCCTTAGTTCATGGGATTCATCCTACCGAACGACAGGCCATTCGTGCATTTCCCTTAGTTCTTTCTGAAGCCCTGGAGGTCTTAGCGGTGTTCGGTTAGTCGAGTGTCCATTTTGAGTTCCAGACACTCGACGAGCAAACACCGCTGTTCGCGGGTTTAAGATGGCTGCCGCCACGTGTTCGGCTGCCAAAATGGCGGCCACCCATGAAACATAGCAGAGGGTTCGTATGTTCAAGGGAATGTAACAAGTGATCAGGGAGATAAATCACATCCCATCTTCTCACCAGGGTGGTCCGGTGATTCAGTACTTTGTTCGTATGGTGAATGTATCAGTTCACCTGCAAGCTGGTATATCCTTCTACCGAACAAAGTGTGGCTACATATAGTTATATGCAATTCTGTATAATCTGGGCACAGGGAAAACTCTGCAGTGCCAACAATAAAATAAATGGGACAGCCAAAGGGGTTCTGCTACATTGGCGTTGTGGCAGGCTTATGCAATGTATGATCATATAATGTAACTAAATCCCCATATTTTTCATATATAGTGCTTAGTTATGTCTCCTCTTGTATAGTCCTGTCCTGCCCAATTCTTGTTTTCCTCATGTCTTGTGTACATGTTCTGGGTTCTGCTTTCTGTCCTGCTCTGGTTCTATTAGTTCGGTCTTGTTTTCATGTATGGTGCCTATCTCTAGTCTTGCCTTGCTTCAGTACTGGATACACTCCTGCTGCAGAGCCTCCCTATTCAGCTCCTGGGAGGTCTGCTTAATTCCAAGCTCCTAGTTCCTGGGATCCACATAAGCTGAATCAGGGTTCTGGTATGTGGCTGCACAAACGCTGGTGCTCAACACTAGGGGGGCGTGGGGTTACCCAGCACCAGACCTTGCTAATCCGCCTCCACACTGTGACTCCTACTCTGAACATCAGGCATACTGGGTCCCGGTCCTCGCACCGCCGCCCAGACAGTGTCTGGGTCCCGGGCACCGGACAGCCACCCTGACAGCGCCAAGGGAGCCCGGCGCTGGAGAAAGGTGAGTGTTTAACCTCTTCTTCACCATAGACCCCGGCGGGAGGGGGGCCGTGAGGGCGAGGGGGACCCAAAGACCCTATAGAGCAAGGAAAACGAGTATTTTTT